ACCGAACGGAGAGGTGGGGTGTCGGGTCGGGGCTCAAGAGACGGGGGTCAATGCAAGCGTGGGTCCGTCAGAGCGCTGGATCTCTTGCAGGAGTTTGCAGAGCCACCAGGGGTGCACCGACCCTGATCTGATCCGATTCGGGCTCCTTGCCCATGCAGCTCGATCCGACGATCACTCCGTCTCGGCCCGATTTCCCGATTCGACGCCGACTGATCTTGTCCTTCGACCCCCACACTCAGCGGAGGAAAAGGTACCGGTACCGCTACCCTTCCCTCGTGTTCCTTTTTGGGGCCTCCTGGGGAGCCCCGTCGCCACCGCTGGATTCGCCTCGAAATTCTGGGCAGAACGCACCCCAGGAGAGGCCTGGGGAGTAGCAGTGTGGGTACCTTTTGGTTTCCCCACAAACGGCCCCGCGCATTCTGAGAAGCGTGTTTTTTTTCACAAGCCCCCTCCTCGCCCTCTGTTCCCTTTTGCGCAAGGAAAGCAGGAAAGAGTGGTTGAAGGAAGGTGCAGTCTGTTCGCTCCGTGTCGACGCGGTGGCGATCCAAGCGCGGGCGTTCGCGGTGCAACGCGAACGCCGTCAGTGCTCAGGACTCGTCCGACCCCCAGCGACCCGCGCCATCGGGAAGCCGCGATCGCCCAAGAGGTTGAACGATCGAGGAGGAGGAGGAGGAGGAAGAGGAGGAGGAGGAGGAGGAGGAGGAGGAGGAGGAGGAGGGAGGAGGAGAGGAGGAGAAGAGGAGAAGAGGAGGAGGAGGAGGAGGAGGAGGAGGAGGGGGAGGAAGAGGAGGATGGACCAACGCCCAAGTCGTCACGACACGAACCCGCCGAGGGGCCCCAGCGCCGCCCCAGCTCCTGGAGAGGGGGTGCCCCGCCTGCTCTCTCTGGAGCGTGTTGGGCGCTCCGCCCCGGAGCGCTCTTCGTGCCGCAGACCTCCCCTGGGCCTCGCTATCCTCCTCCTCCTCCTTCTCCTCCTCCTCCTCCTCCCCTGGGCCTCGCTATCCTCCTCCTCCTCCTCCTCCTCCCTCCTCCTCCTCCTCCTCCTCCTCCTCCTCCTCCTACTCCTCCCCAGCCCTCCTCCTCGACCCCCTCCTCCTCCTCCTCCTCCTCCTCCTCCTCCTCCTCCTCCTCCCTCCTACTCCTCCTACTCCTCCCCCAGCCCTCCTCCTCGACCTCCTCCTCCTCCTCCTCCTCCTCCTCCTTCTCCTCCTCCTCCTCCTCCTCCTCCTCCCCTTCCACCTGGGGTCGTGGTAGGAGGATCGCGCCTTGTCGCCGATGCATCGGCGATGCATTGGCGATGCGGCTCGATGTGTGGCCCACGTCTCTCCACGGCGATCGGATGTATCGCCAACGTCGCCAGTGCGTGGCCGATGCATCGTCGATGCATCGCCGATGTATCAGCGATGAGGCGAGTTTCTCCGACCCCATCTACAGAAGCCAGGTGAAGGCCGGCAAACCCGTGGCTGCTAAAACTGAGCTTCGGGAAATTGTTTTTCTCTTCTGGGAAGCAGCCCGTTCACTATTCAGCGCGCTGAGTTTGATTCCGGGAATGTGTTTTTCTTCCGGGAAGACCGTTTCGGCAGCCACGGATTTGCCAGCCCTCGCCCAGCTTCCAGACCCCAGCTAGGAGGCCTCTAGGTGTGCGCGGTTCGGTCGGGCCGGCTTCGCTGCTGTCGGCTGCGCTTGGTCGGTCCGGGTTAGGGTCGGCCGCCGTGGCGTGGCTGCTTCACGCCTCGCCGCTGCACGCCGCCTGCCCTGCAGAATGGCAGTTTCGGTTTCGGTCGGCTTCCGGTTCTGGTGTCGGTGCGGTCGGTTTCCGGTTATCGGGGGCGGCCAAAAGGGGGATGATGACTAGGGGGGGTGGAAATCATGGCTTGGGGCACGATGTTTCCTCAGATTTCACGGCGTCTCTTCTTATTTCATGACGTCCCTGGCCCCCCCGCCTGAGCCGAGAACATGCCGCAGGTCATGGTTTGCGCCCCCCCCTTGGACGCCGCCTCCCTTTTGGCCGCCTCTGAGGTTCGGTTGTCGCCGTGGGCGGTTTTGGCGAAGTTGAGTGACCCAGAAAAGGTGAGGGACAGCACCAGGGTCCGGGCATGTCCCTCTACAGGAGGAAAATTCAAAAATAGTGAAAAATAGTCAGGGGGCGATGTAACTATTTTTCATTTTCTTCCAAAGCCCTCCTGTAGAAGGACATGCCCGACCTTCCTCCGCCTCGTTCCTGAAGTCCCGTGGCAGGTCCATTCTTCGCCGATTGTGACGTAGGTGCCTCATAGTACTGTCGGGTCCTAAATACGGGCGGTGCATCCCCGATCCCTCGTCGATGTTGGCCCCTTCTTTCCTCGTCGTCGCCGTCGTCGGTTATCGTCGTCGATTACCGTTGTCGTCGTCGTCTCCTTCCTCCTTCTCCTCCTCTTCATTATATCGTTCACGTCGTCGTCCTCGTCAATCGTTGTCGTCAACATCATCTTTGTCGTCGTCCTACTCGACATTGTCGACGTATGCCCACCTTTAGCTCACCCTGAGGATGGCCTGGCTCACTTCATGCGCTGCTGGGAGGCGCAGATTGGCCGCTCCAAGACGTTTGTTACCTGATCCAAGCGCGGGCCGCCGCTGCGAAGCAAACAGAGCGCCTCTTCAATGTCCACAGCTTGCTCCGCAATGCTCTCGTCCTCCTAACCTCCTGCTCCTCTGTCCAATGATCTCTTCATTCTACCAACCCTCCTCCTCCTCCTCCTCCTCCTCCTCCTCCTCCAGACCGCACAGAACCCACTGCAGCATCCCTGTAGGACCTTCCCACCGTCACGGATCTTGCGCACCTCCGAAACCTGTTCGGAGGATCCACCGCCAAGATCCCTGTAGAGCAAGACACCTGTTCGGATCGGAACCCTGCCATGAATCCTGCGCACCTCTTGAACCTGCCGACAGCCACCGGAGTCACCATCAAACCTCCTCATTCGAAGGCTGCGGAAAGCCACCGAAGACATCATCAACCCTCATCCTCCTTCCTCCTCCTTCCTCCTCCCCCTCCTCCCCCTCGCCCTCCCTCCTCCCCCTCATCCTCCCCCTCCTCCTCCTCCTCCTCGTCCTCATCATCATCATCCTCATCCTCATTCTCGTCCTTATCCTTATCGTCCTTCCTCCTTCCTCCTTCCTCCTTCCTCCTCCTCATCCTCCTCCCCCTCGCCCTCCCTCCTCGACTCCGCTGCCCGCTCCCGCCCTCTTGCGCAGCCCTGCCTCCTTCCTCCCGCTTCCCTCCCTCCCCTCTCTCCCCCTCAAGGCGCCTCCCCCGCCCCACCCTCTCCCGGCGAGAGGGCGAGGGGGGAGCGGGGGGGGGTCTGAGAGGGCGAGGGGGGGGAGGGGCTGTTTTAACTGACGCGCTGTCTCAACTTTTTGTCTACAGACCTTCTGAAACAAAACAAAAGCACGAGGCCCCAAAGAAGCCCCAAGAGCGCTCCAAGAGGACCCCAAAGAGGGCCAACAGAAGCAACACTTATTGATTTTCTATGTGCTTTGCTATGTTTTTGGCTTTTTAAAGTTTTCGCCCCAAGACAGCCCGAGAGGCCCCTAAGAGGGCCCCAAGACGGCCCAAGAGGCCCAAAAAGAGACCCCAAGAGGCCACCCAAGCTGACCCCAAACGGCCCCCAAGAGGCCACGAATGCGCGGGCAAACGCCTGCGATGGCACAGTACGGGCCGGCGGAATGAGCGAAGCGATTGAAGAAATGAGGAGGAGGAGGAGGAAGTTGGGAGGAGGAAGTTGGGAGGAGGAGGAGCAGGAGCAGGAGCAGGAGCTCGGAGCAGGAGCAGGAGGAGGAGGAGGAGGAGGAGGAGGAGGAGCAGGAGGAAAGATGGATGAGGGAGGAAGGGAAGGGGGTAGGAGGAGGAGGAGGAGGAGGAGGAGGAGGAAGCTGTGAAGAGGATAAAGAAGAGGAAGCTGACAGGAGGAGAAGTTGCTGCCGGAGAGGGAGAGGAGGTCGACAGAGGTCCCCAGAAGGGGCCCAGAGGCCCCGGCAGGCCTCCCCGATGCCTCACTGACACACCCATCCAGCCCTCGAAGAGAGGAACTCGGAGATGCACCCCGCAGGCCCGGAGAAGAGGGTTTGAAGAGTCATCCAACAAAGCAATGTTCGATCCTCGATGCTTGGTCCCGCCCTCGATGTTTGATGCTTTTCGATCGTCGACTTTACTCTCGATCCCAGGAAGCGAGGCTCTATCCCGTCGTCGATCCTCGATGCGCCTCGGTCCTTGATCCTCTCCAGGTCTTTCAAATTGGGCCAGAGTTCAGGGGCAACGTTATAGAGAATGGGCTCGGGGTGGAACATACCGACCCCGTCTCGCACATTCATTGTCGATATGTGCCTGATAGTCCACCCTGCCCAGGCACGGTCGTGTTTCGCAATTTGGGGCCTTGCGTGAGGTCGCCTTGTGCACGCTCGTAGGAGTGCCAGGGGCCAGACCGAGGTGCAGGGAGGTCATCGGGGACGGGGTGTGTGTGGGTACGCGCAGACCGACTCCAGCGGTCGCCGGCCTCCCAGCTGGACCACCCTGTCCATCCTGGCCAGTTGCCGCTGTAGGGGCCGCTGCGGCTGGCCTCGTGATGCCGACGTGGGCAGCGCTCACCCCAGCCCTCGCCCCAGTCGTACTCATCCCGCACCGCATTGGCTGCCCGGGGCTGCCAATGCGGTGCGGAATGAGGGTTTAGGGTTTAGGGTTTAGGGCCCATTCGCCCAAGCTTGAAGCCTGTTGGACGTGTCCCACCCACCCATGACCCAAGACATATTGATTTCAAAACGACGACGACGATACCGATGACGAAGACGACGATATTGATTTCAAACCGCGACGACGACAGTCGCGCAAAGTCTTCTGGGAAGCCGCTACAACGGCGATGCGGCGCGCGCGCGACGACGCGATTTGAAGAACAACGTATATTTACGCGAGTCCCTGTACGTCGCACGGACGCCGCGCAGCGGCGGTGAGATTGCATGGAGTGGCTGCGCAACGCGCGCGGGATAGCTCGTTGCTTCGAGGAGACGGATCCCCAGTTCGCATGGATTTGCGTGAGGGGTGCGCCCTGCGTTTTGCCAAAGCCCTCTGAACACCATTCCTGGCACAGCGCGGGCAAGGATCTGCGTGAAGGGGTGCACCGAAATGGGGGGCGGCATAAAAAGAGGGCGCATAAGGGCGCCATAAGGCATTTTAGGATTTAAATGGTTATATGGGTTTAAGGTTTAGGGTTTAGGTTCCACCAGCCCAAACTTGAAGCCTGTTGGACGTGTCCCACCCACCCATGACCCAACACATATTGATCTGAAAACGACGACGACAATACCGATGACAACGACGACGGTATTGGTTTCAAAACGACGACGACGACAGTCGCGCAAAGTCTTCTGGGAAGCCGCTGCAACGGCGATGCGGCACGCGCGCGCGACGACCGGATTTGAAGAAAAACGCTTACTTATGCGAGTCCCTGTTCGTCGCAGGGACGCCGCCCAGCGGCGGTGAGATTGCATAGAGTGGCTGCGCAACGAGCGCAGGATAGCTCGTTGCCCAGTTCGCATCTTCAGCACTGCGGCGCGGTGCGCGAAGGCCGAGAGCAAGGATCTGTGTGAGGGGTGCGCCCTGGGATTTGCAAAAGCTCTCAGAACACCATTCTTGGCACGCCGAGGGCAAGGATCTGCGTGAGGGGTGCGCCGGACTGGGGGGCGGCATGAGGGGGCGCATCAAGAACACGGTAGGCATTTTGGGATTTAAATCTTTATAGGCTCTTAGTTATTAGGGGGTCCTCGCGGAAGGATCGCCTCAAATGGGTCGCGTGTTTATCGGAAATCGCTGGTGCACGCTATATTTTGCAACGCCAGCCGTACGCACGCTGAGCGGAAAGAAAGTGGACCGTTTCATCCGAAGCCGTTTCGTCTTGAAGCGCTCATCCGACATTATGTTATCCAGACGAATTCGCCCAGACGATTCTTCTGGATGGGGGTTATCCGACGACGAGATCCTCCGGAGGTTCAGCTCGTCTGGAAAGTAGGACATCCGCACATTTTCGTCCAGACGAGCTCATCCGGACAATTTCATCCGGACGAGTTCGTCTGGAAAGGAGCTGTTCTGGTTCCGAGCGGGAGCCTTTTCGAGCATATTTGGGCGGCAAGGTTCTGCAGTGGCATGAGTCCCCCCTTCTCCTGCTGATCGGAGGCCCCCAAACTGTGACCACACCGTGTGGTGATTCGGTGGGGATTCGGGGTCACCGCACGGTTTTGGGACTTGAGTCTCTCTCCGAGGATGTCTCGGGCGACAGGGGCCTCCAGGGTCCCAAGACCGTGCGGTGACGGACCGTGCGGTGTGCGGTGAGGTCTCTTTGGGTTCCGAGGTCACCGCGCGGTCTGTCACCACAAGGTTCTGGGATCCCCCAGCTGAACTTTGTCATCGCGCGTTGCTCCTGTGATCGCGGCAAGCGGGCGGCGGTGGAGCAGGAGGAGGGACGGGAAGTAAAGGAAATCGGGAGGAGGAAGAGGAGGGGGAGGGGGAGGAGGAGGAGGAGGAGGAGGAGGAGGAGGAGGAGGAGGAGGAGGAGGAGGCCCCTTCCTCCTCCTCGTCCTTCTCCTCTTTCCCTTCCTCCTCCTCCTCCTCCTCCTTGTCCTCCTCCCCGCCTCTTTCTCCTCCTCCTCCTTCTCCCCCTCATCGTGTTCGTTGTTCGTTTTTCTCCTCCTCCTGCTGCTCCTCCTCCTACTCCTCCTATACATCGGCTCGGCCCTGAACGCTGCGCGAGGGGAGTCGGACGTGGACGGGTGATCCTCACACGCCTGCCCCAGTGGACATTTGCCCAGAGTTGGACGGCTGCTGGGGCTGCGGCAACCGCAAAAGGAGGAGGACGTGGAGGAACAGCTGGAGGAGGAGGACGACGAAGCTGGGAGGAGCAGGAGGAAGCTGGGAGGAGGAAGAGGTGGTGTGGAGTCTATCCGACGTGTTTGCTGCACATTGCGTTGGCTCTGTGCTTGATGTTTCTCCTGCTGCCCATTTCCTTCCCAGCCTGGAATTTTAATGTCGCGCCCTGGATGCATGAATTCGCCGGCCCAACCGGCCAGAGGCGTGATCAGATCTCCGGTAACAGATCTACAGCGTTTCTATTTCGCGCGCGCGGTGCGGCCTCTGGGGGCCCCTGGACGAAAAGGATTCCGCTGAAGCCCGGTCGCAGCCTGGGCGCAACGCCTCAGAGATGGTTTCCTTTTTGGGTTTGGCCTTCCAGAACCCCCAGAACGCTTGAGGAGGCACAATGAGGCCCCCAAGACAGCCCAAGAAAGCCCCTAGTCGCCGAAAAGACGCCCCAAGACGTCCAAGATGGCCCCAAGACGGCCCAAGAGGCCCCAAAGAAGCCTCCATAGCCATTTGGCTCAAGGCATCTTGGTTACACGGACTCGAAGAGCATTTGTGTTCACACTCCTTTGTGCACCGCAACTTTCGTGATCTCGTCTCAAGCATGAAGCCCATGGGTGCATGTTGCTTTGCCGCTGTGCTGGTCGGAGCCACCCCTTGCGCTGCATTCGCGCTCTGGGGCGAAGAGCAGGTGACGCAGCTGACCAAGTCCAGTGGGGGTACCAATGAGAGTGCTTCTGTCGCTACCTCGTATACGTACACAGATTGCCAAGGAAATTCGAAATCCTGCAATTTGCATTCCACGTGGCCGAGCTGGCCCGGGTGCCCAGGTATCAGTCCATGGCCTGAGCGCTGCCACCAGGCAACGCTCGCCACCGCCCAGGCAATCTGCAGCGCGAATGCTGGCTGCATGGGCATCACGCGCGACGCGGCAGGATACGAACCTAGGACAGGTCCTAGTATCTACTATCACGGTGCAGCGAAGGAGATGTGGATCAAAAACGCAGAGGACCCGACGCCCAATCCGACGGTCTTCCCGACGCCTTTCCCGACCTCTTTCCCGACGGCTTTCCCGACGCCTTTCCCGACCTCTTTCCCGACGCCCTACCCGACGGCTTTCCCGACGCCGTTCCCGACTCCCAGCCCGACGACCAGTCCTGTTGCTCCGAATTCGGGCGGAAACAGCGTGGCAGCCACTGGCGACCCCCACCTTCAAAACGTTCATGGCGAGTGGTTCGACTTGATGAAACCGGGCGATCATGTTCTGATAAACATCCCTCGTGGAGTGATCGCTGACGACGCATTGCTTCGTGTGCAAGCCAAAGCGCGCCGACTGGGTGGACATTGTGCGGATATGTACTTTCAAACATTGAACATCACAGGGTCTTGGGCAGAGTCCAAACAAGCTGGAGGGTATTGTTTCAGCGCGTCGCAAAGCGCCGTCGAGACCCCGCAATGGATTGCGTTTGGTCCGGTCCAGCTGAAAGTCGTCCATGGACACACCGGTAGTGGTTTCCAGTATTTGAATATGTTCGCGAAGCATTTAGGGCGAGCAGGGTTTGCTATCGGAGGTCTATTGGGGGAGGACGACCACGAAGGCGTGATCTCTCCTACGGGTGACTGTGATACGCGTACAGAGCTTTCTTCTGCGCCTGCAAACATGACTGGGCGTAGTCATTCTATGGCATCAGTTGCGCAGGCATCCTTCGCTTGAATGCGTCGGTGTTCCTCTGTGGTAGGAAGGGTGGGGACTTGACGGAGGAAGTGGGGGGGGAGGGAAGGGTGTTCAAGTGTTCCGATGTGGCCACCTTTCTCAGCGACACCTGCACTCCCTCTGTCTATCTCCTGATCGCGCACTCCCTCTCTCTGTATCTCTCTCTCTCTCTGTCTGTCTCTCTCCCTCTCCCTCCCCCCCTCCAGAGGGTAAGCAGGTGTGTGAGTCCTTGGCCTGCCCTTTCTCTGATCCCCGCTTCGGCGCAGTCGACTTTTGCAGCAAACAGCTGTTTTAACTGACGCGCTGTCTCCTGATCGCGCACTTCCTCTGTCTATCTCCTGATCGCGCACTCCCTCTCTCTCTCTATCTCTCTCTCTCTCTCTTTCTATGTCTCTCTCCCTCTCTCTCCCTCCCCCCTCAAGAGGGTAAGCAGGTGTGTGAGTCCAGGGTCTGCCCTTTCTCTGATCCCCGCTTCAGCTGGTTTAACTGACGCGCTGTCTCAAGTTTTTGTCTAAAGACCTTCAGTGCCGAAACGGAAAAAAATGAGGCCCCAAAGAAGCCCCAAGAGCGCTCCAAGAGGACCCAAAAGAGGGCCAACATAAGCAACACTCATTGATCTTCTATGTGCTTTCCCATGTTTTTGGCTTTTCAAAGTTTTCGCCCCAAGACGGCCCGAGAGGCCCCTAAGAGGGCCCCAATACGGCCCAAGAGGGCCCCAAAACGCTGCCAGAGGGGCCCAAGTGGGTCCCAAGTGGGGCCCAAGAGGGGGAACACGAACCACCAATTCGAGCCTTCCGCCCCAAGAGTCCCCCGAGAGAGCCCAGGAGGCTCCCTGGAGGCCGCACGAGGCCCCCAAGATGCCCAAAAGAGGCCCCAAGAGGCCCCCCAAGCTGACCCCAAACGGCCCCCAAGAGGCCACGAATGCGCGGGCAAACGCCTGCGATGGCACAGTACGGGCCGGCGGAATGAGCGAAGCGATTGAAGAAATGAGGAGGAGGAAGTTGGGAGGAGGAGGAGGAGGAGGAGCAGCAGGAGGAGGAGGGGAGGAGGAGGAAAGATGGATGAGGGAGGAAGGGAAGGGGGTAGGAGGAGGAGGAGGAGGAGGAGGAGGAGGAGGAGGAAGCTGTGAAGAGGATAAAGAAGAGGAAGCTGACAGGAGGAGAAGTTGCTGCGGAGAGGGAGAGGAGGTCGACAGAGGTCCCCAGAAGGGGCCCAGAGGCCCCTGGAGGCCTCCCCGATGTCTCACTGACACACCCATCAAGCCCTCGAAGAGAGGAACTCGGAGAGGCATCCCGCAGGCCCTGAGAAGAGGGTTTGAAGAGTCATCCAACAAAGCAATGCTCGATCCTCGATGCTTGGTCCCGCCCTCGATGTTTGATGCTGTTCGATCGTCGACTTTACTCTCGATCCAAGGAAGCGAGGCTCGATCCCGTCGTCGATCCTCTATGCGCCTCGGTCCTTGATCCTCTCCAGGTCTTTCAAATTGGGCCAGAGTTCAGGGGCAACGTTATAGAGAATGGGCTCGGGGTGGAACATACCGACCCCGTCTCGCACATTCATTGTCGATATGTGCCTGATAGTCCACCCTGCCCAGGCACGGTCGTTTTTCGTAATTTGGGGCCTACCGCCATGGGCGATGCATCGCCGACACCAGGTCGATGTTTCCCTCCTGAACCTCCCCCCTTCTGAGTAGATGGGGTCGGGGAATCGCGTCGCATCCCTGAAGCGTCAGGGATGCAGCGGCGATACGGCGCGATCCTCCGATCCCATCCATCACTCGGACCCCGCCTGGGAGGACTCATGATGCTCATCGATCCCACATCCGATGCCGTGTTTTTTTCACGACCAGGCTCCCCAGAGGTCGGGGATTCTTTCGAGGGGACCCGTTCTTCATCCGAGATGCCAAAGTTTGCCAAGAGCCTTCCGTCGCGATTCTTGTGATGACGCGGGGACGTCTGGGCTCTCAGTGGTGGGCCTTGGGAACGACAAAGCAGTTGTTGCCGTTTTCGTTGCCCTGTTTTGCATTTCTGGCGCCTAAGTTTTACGTTTTTGTTTCCTTTGGTGGTGGGCCTGGTCCAGATCTCAGATTTTGTAATGGATCCGGACCGTTTTCGGACTGGTTCTGAGCGTCCTTCGGCGCCCATCACTGCCCTGGCCGTTTCGGTGAATCGTTTCGTTACCGTTTTTGTGAACCGCTTTTGGTGCCACCTCCGTGGTAGCAGTTTTTACCCTCACATCTTACTAGTCAGTGGGATGTTTGTCTTCTCTGCACCCCCCTTGCAGGAAAGTGATCCCCCTCTTATGTTCGTCCTTCTACTCTTATCATCATCGCCACCACCGCCATCATCGTCATCGTGATCATCATCATTAATATCATCATCATCATCACCATCAGCATCATCATCATCATCATCATCATCATCATCATCATCACCATCAGCATCAGCATTAGCATAACCATCATCATCAACATCATCATCCTCATCCTCATCCTCATCCTTTTTAGCAGCATCAGCACCATCACCATCACCATCACCATCACCATCATCATCATCATCATGATCATCATCATCATCATCATCATCATCATCATCATCATCATCATCATCATCATCATCATCATCATCATCATCATCATCATCATCATCATCATCATAATCACAATCATCATCATCATTACCTTTACCAGTATCATCGTGAGCTAAGGCCCAAGGTGCACCTGGACGTGACGTTCGGCGACTCCGCGCCGAGCGCGCACGGGCACCGGACCGCCTTCTGCGCGCACCTCGCCGCGATCACCGAGGCGGCGATCGGCAAGCTGGAGGAGCCAGAGTCGACTAGACGTAAGAGTGACCTTTCGCCAGAGTGACCTTTGGTGCGGGCACGTTGGGGTCCCCCGATCGCCGAACGCGATGCGATAGTACCGTCTTGCGCGCCTGTGTTTGGTCACCCCGCGGCCCCCCCCAAAGCCGCGCACCAAGGGTCACTCTTACCCAGGGTCACTCTTGCGTGTAGCCGATAGAGTGCCAGATCTCGGCTCCCATGTGCGAGGTGCTGGCGTCGGACGACGACACCGCGGTGGCCTTGCTGAGGGGACTGACCAAAAGCGCGGCATGCGCTTCCCGCTCGTGGACGGGTCCGAGGAACCCCGGCATCGACTCCGCCTCGCACCACGGCGGGGCTCTCGCTTCGGTACTCTTGTGGCGCGGCAGACTGAGGGAACAGCTGTCGAGGGCCATGGCGGTGCGCATGCAGTCCGAGAAGGCCGGCGGCCACTTGGACATCCCAGGACTGCGCTCCGCCATCGGGTCCGGCGCGGCAGCCTCGGCGTGGACGGGCGCCCGGCTGGAGAAGCTGCAGAAACGGGTGGGGGGCATCCGTCCACTTCGGGAGCGAACGACGCCGCCCGGGGCTCCTGCTGGTGTCGCAGGCAGCACGACGGCCCGCTCTTCGAGCACGCGTGGTTGCCCGCGCGGGCGCGGGCGATTCCGGCGACTCGGGCGGAGCGGGGCGCAGACGGGGCGCATGCTGGGCAGCGCCTTCGCCGCCGGCGTGGGGACGCTGCAGGAGGAGGGGCGCAGGGGCCTCGCAGGCAGCGGGCACGCCTGCGCCTGGCTCGCGTGCGCGCGCCTGCGCTGTGGAGGCAGGCTGCGCTGCGGAGGCAGGCCGCCGACAGCACAGGGCTACTCGCACTCGGGGGCGGCGGGGGAGCCATCGAGCACATCGAGAGGGAGGTGGCCAGAACCACGGGCGCCCAGGTGGCGCGTGCAGCTCGCTCCTCAAGCACGACCGTCGAGGACCAGGAAAGTGACGCACCTTAGCCCGATGGAGCCTTCGCGATGGAGGAAAGGGGGCGGCGGGGCAAGAGGAGACGGCAGGGGGCAACAGAGGCGGGGGTATCGCGGCTCC